GCGGGAGTTGGGCGGCGAGCGGCAGAACGCTGAAGTGTCCACACATCAAAGCGAGGGCGGCGCACGTGCCCACGTAGGTTTGCTCAGCTCTCAGCAACTGTGCCCAAGACCGGCGAGTACTTCGACGTCCTCATGTCGCCGCCGCGCAGTCTTGCCGCCACGCGGTGTCTCGACGCCGTTGTTTCGCTACCGTCGCCGCCGGCGGTAAATGTTTTCTTGTTGGAGGCTGCGACAAGGTTCCGGAGCTGGAAGGCTTCCGTTGCAGGTTACACGCAACCAATTACATGTATTGTTAATGTTTATTCCTTTTCACAAGCTGTCTTGAGGGCGAAACGTTAACTCGGTTGGCATTGTGCTGAACAACAGAGCGGATGGTTGAAGTTCAAATCCACAACTGATTGTTGTTGAGGGGAGTTTATAAGATTCTCCGCCCATCTGCCTCGGTCCTATCGAAGATGAACCTTAAATTTGGTCTGATAATAAGATGATGTTATTCTGCAACAAAGATCTTTGTAAGTCTTTATTTACCTAACAATGTCGGTTAGATCAAGACCGACACAACGACAATGGCATTGAAGCAGACACAAAGCGCTTGCTGTTACTTTCTATTTAGCGAACATTCACAAACAGGGATGGCATTTTAGAGTGGAGTGACCCCGAGATTAGTATACCTTGTGCAAGGTGGAACTTGAAGATACATGTATCAGCAAACGTAACTCATATGACCGTGAACACTTAAAGAAATGAAGAATGCAACACAAATCATGAGAAGATTTACATATGTGTACACACTTAACTGGCTTCTGTGGTGTAGTTATTAGACAGTTTGCGGGTAAAATTTTTATCGAGTGTCTCCGATTTTCTGCTTGGACGTTCTTTTCCTCTTAGCCCTTGCAGGCCCTGATAAGTATGGCCGAAGCCCGTCTCCTAAAAGATCTAAATAGTGCCAATGGGGTTGTAAAAACTCCTTTATTCAAAACAAAACAAAAACGAAAGCAACCCCCTCCTAAAAAATCCCAACAACAAACAAACCCTCCTGAAACATAGGTCTGGCCCGGTGACTGAGAAAGATGAGATAAGATAAGATGAGATAAAATGAAATAAGGTGATATAATACAACAAAAAATAACATAACGTGACATAACATAACATAACATAACATAACATGACATAACATAACATAACATAACATAACATAACGTGACATAACATAACATAACATAACATAACATAACGTGACATAACATAACATAACACAACATAACATAACGTGACATAACATAACATAACACAACATAACATAACGTGACATAACATAACATAACACAACATAACATAGCATAGCATAACAAAACATAACATAACGTGACATAACATAACATAAAAAACCCCCTGAAACATAGGTCTGGCCCGGGGACCGGGAAAGATGAGGTAAGATGAAATACGGTGATATAATACAACAAAACATAACATGACATAACATAACGTGACATAACATAACATAGCATAACATAATACAACATAACATAACATAACATAACACAACATAACATAACAAACATAACCTAACATAACATAACACACCATAACATATCATAACATAACATAACATTACATAAAAAAACCTCCTGAAACATAGGTCTGGCCAGGTGACCGCGAAAGATAAGATAAAACAACATAACATAACATGACATAACAAAACATAACTTAACATAACATAACATAATATGACATAACATAACATAACATACTATAACATAAAAACAGAACAGAACAGAACATATAGGCCGAATCTTTATTGTCCAGATGCTGGTGCATATGGTTTAGTGTTTCACCAAACACATACACCCCCCCCACCCCCAAACACACACACACACACACACACACACACGTACATACATACCCCCCTCCCCCTTTCCCACTCACACATCCATGTACACGCACATGCACGCGCACATCCATACACGTGACACACACACACACCCTCTCTCCCACACTCTCTTCCACACACATACATCTGTTCAGTACACATACACACATCACAATTATGCTTGCGCTCACAAACAGACTCACAGTCACACGCAGAATATCAATGAACAATTTTTGTTTACAATAAAAATAATAGTGTTTAAGCTAGAAACGTAGTTCTAATCAGTATTCTGATAATAACCCGATGATAGTACATTCGATAAATGTCAAAGCGTGCCTATTTATAAGTTTTAAATTCCTCTGTCAAGAACTAGATCATTGTAAATCTAAAGCTGATAAATGATTGAAATGAGACAAGACGTAAGAGTTCTTGTTTTTTCGTTTTATTTGTTTCCTTTTTTCCTTTTTAAAGTAACGTGATCCTTTGTACTTTATCATAGATATGTCCCACTCCCCGCTTCCTAAATATTGTACGAGAAAACGATATCTGTCTTTTAATGCCTCTTCTAAGTTCTAAGATCCTTTCCCATCCCACTCTCTGAATTTCTCTCGTTCTCTGTAAATTTTAAGCTGGCAAATGATAGAAATGAGATTAGAAATAACAAACAGTTTTCTTTTCTTTTCTTTTTCTTTTTTTTTTTTAAGTACAGCGATTCTTAGTAACTTGTCATCGATAACGATAATATTTGGCTATTTGGAAATCCTCCTAATAGATCTTTTCCCATTACCTTTATCTCTCCGTATTTCTCTGTAAATTTTAAGCTGTAACACGATTGAAATGAGACTAGAAGTAAGAGTCCTTTTTCTTTTTTCCTTTTTCAAGTAGGCCTACCGTAATTCTTTATAAATTACTAAGGATATATTCCCCTCCCCGCTTCCTAAATATAAAACGATATATATTATTTATGTCTTTCTATTTGGAAGACCTCCTTTCGTTCTTATCCTCCTCTCTTTGTCTCACCCTGTGTCTGTAAATGTTTAAATGTTACATGATTGAAATATGACTAGGTGTGAGAGTCATTTTTCTTTCTTACTTGGTTATTTTTTCTTTCTACAGTACCGTTATTTTTTGTACTTTACCAAAGTAGTGTGTATATCCCCCACTCCGTTTCCTAAATATCGTAAAAAGACAGTTGTCTTTCTATTTTGAAATCCTCTTTCCTCTCCAATCTACCTATCTCTATCTCTGTCAGTCTCTCTGTCTGTCTCTTTGTCTGTCTTTCGTTTTCTCTCTCTCTCTGTCTCTGTCTGTCTCGCTCTCTTTCACTCTATATCTCTGAATGTGTGTGTGTGTATGTATGTGTGTGTGTGTGTGTGCGCGCGTGTGTGTGAGTGCGTGTGTGTATGTGTGTGTGTGTGTGTGTGTGTGTGTGTGTGT